ATAGAAGAGAGGAGAGGATAGAATAGAAGAGAGAAGAGAAGAGAGGATAGAATAGAATAGGGAAGAGAGGAGAGAAGAGAATAGAGAGGAGAGCAGAGGAAAGAGAGTAGAAGAGAAAATAGAATAGAATGAAGTTTAGAGTAGAGTAGAATAGGAAAGAGGAAGAGAAGAGAATAATGAAGAGAAGAGAGAACAGAACTGTTGGAAGGGACCTTGGAGGTCTTCTAGTCCAGCCCCCTGCTCAAGCAGGAGACCCTATACCATTCCAGACAAGTGACTGTCCAGTCTCTTCTTAAAAACCTCCAGTGATGAAGCACCCACAACGTCTGAGGGCAACTTCTGTTCCACTGGTTAATTGTCTTGACTGTTGGAAGCTTCTCCTTCATTCCAAGTTGCTTCTCTCCTTGATTCATTTCCATCCATTGTTTCTTGTCCTGCCTTCTGGTGCTTTGGAGAATAGGTTGATCCCGTCTTCTTTGGGGCAGCCCCTTAGATATTGGATCACTGGACCTTCCTTTCATTAAATTAGACATACCCAATTCCAGCGACAGTTCTTCGTATATTTTAGCCTCCAGCCCCTTAATCCTCTTGGTTGCTCTTCTCTGCACTCTTTGCAGAGTCTCAACATCTTTTTTTACATCATGGCGACTTAAGCAGAGGGAGCTCAGCCATGGATGAATCCTTTCTAATCCCAACAAGTGCTTGAGAAGGGTTAAAAAGCAGTTTCTTTCCTTTATTTTCTCTCTTGCTCTCTCTTCATTCGACTCTGCGTCGTTCCATTTATCTTTGGTTTAAGACAGCGTCCCTCCACCTGCAGTACACAGAACCCTGGGTGGTGGTAGTGGGGGCACGATGTCATCACAGAGGACTCCCCAAGGCTGGAAGAACTGTTATGGTTTAAATCTTAACGTCCAAAGTTGCAACTTTGAACGGCCACTACGAATGGTCGTAAGTCGAGGACTTCCCCGTAGCCCATTTCAGTTATAAATGTCACGTACTTCCAAGAAAAAAAGGGGGGAAAAAGAACATGTGTTTTAAAACGCCTCACTGAATTGATGATTTCTCTATATATATTATTACTAGCTGGATAGCCATGCTTTGCTACGAAACTATGTGGTCGGGCTTAGATTTTGGGGAGGAAAATAACGGGGGGGAAATTCTGCCTCTGCCTACCAGCATCGGTATTCATCTGGCTGGCGTCCTGTCAGTGTATGAGAGAGTGGAGGGCTGTTTGGAAACTGAAAGAGTATTTGCTGTGTGAGCAAGGAGGAGACAGCAAGGAGTCTGGGCGTGGCTTAGGTCAACTGTTCTGTACAAAAGCTGCTTGGTGTTGGTCTGAAACTGAAACTGAAACTCCTCTGCTTGTGTTTTGCATTTGGAAGAGATTTCTTTCCAGGTGGGGAGGGGGAGTAGAACTCCCTAGCATCAGAGCGTGTTAATAATAATAACAATATAGGAAATACTCTAAATGCTCTGATGGTCCTTTTGAAAAACCCTTTCTTAGTAAGCACCTAGAAGCCAAGAGGAACCTACGTGCCAAATTTCAAGTTTGTAGGCTTTATGGTTCTCAAGATTTTGTGATGATTTGTGAGGGGTGTTTTGCTTTTATATTTTATATATATATATAGAAGATTCAAAACAATGCATTTTTTCTGCTGAACATCAGGTTTGGGAGAAAATTGAACATTATCCGAGGAATTGTCGAGCAAGAGATCCAAGAAATGGCCTCTAAGAGAGACAACGTTGCTTGCCATCACTTATACCAGGTGTGGGACCCTGTTCCCTCCCTGGCTCCCTCTACTACAGGTAAACGGTGATTTACATATTTGTCAGTATCTCAACGATCAATGCACCACATGCACAAGCACACAGAGAGATGCCCCACGCTATGCGCGCTTGGATTCAGGAAGAGAAATCAAATATTGCTCAACGTTAAAAGCTTACAGCTGATCCTGCATTTTTAACCAGGGACAATTTACTTGACTTGTGGCCACAATTGAGCCACAAATTTTCTGTGGTTAAGTGAGACATTTGTTAAGTGAGTTCTTGCCACAGTTGTTCACTGAATCCCTGCGTGATGACGCAGGGCACAGCGCAGAGTCAACCCAGGCAGCTCCAAATTTCCCCAAACGCTCCCATGTTTCTGGCAAGTCCCAGAGCAAAGTGGTCACACACACATACACCACAGCTCCAGCAGTCTCTGGCTGCAAGTAGCCCAGCCCAGCGCTGCTGCGTACACTGCACAGCAATAAATCCATCAGGGCAAGTTGAGGAGTCCAGGAATCAAAGGAGCAAGGCAAGTAATCCAGAAATCCAGAAAAAAAAGGCAAGGAATCCAGGAAAGTTCAAACGTCAGCACTCGGCACTCCGTGAATTCAGCGTTTGTTCCCGACAAATGCCCCTCCTCACAGCGTTCTCCTTAAGTCTCCGTTCCCAGGTGTGCCTTGTGAAGAGGGGCTGGGGGTTCTCCTCCCGAGTAGCCGGATCAGTCTGCGCTGTTCTCGCCTTCGCTCCACTCTCCGTGCTCAGGGATCAGGAGGGGGCTGTCCTTGCTCATCGCCTGAGCTCTGTCTCTCATGTTCCCTGCTTAGCCTCTCTCGGTCATCCTGGCCCCCTTCCTCCCTGCTTACAAGCCGGTCCCAATCCTGAAAGGCTCTGGCCTGACTCAGCCTGCTCCTCCCCACATTCCAATGAAGCCGCCCCCTCCATCTCCCACTCAGTTCTTGCTCATCTCCCCCTCCCCCACAGATTCAGGCTCTGCCGGGGGCATGACACCCCATCTCCAGATCAGGGTCTGGCGATTTGTGGGGTTTCACCTCCCTTTGGCTCCTTTATCAGCCTAACACGTTAGTCGCCAACCGGTGGGCTGGAGACCACTGGTGGTCCGCGAGAAAATTTTGGTGGTCCACAGAGAAATGTCCCACACAAAGCACCTCCAAAAAGCAATTAATCCAGGCTGCGCGGGAACACAAGGCTGCACCGCCCACATGGCCCGCCCACCCACTGGCCCCCACCCTTCAGCCGAGCGCAAACCTTACCTTGAGTAGAGCAACGCGAGCTGGAACTGGAAGGTAAGACCAACGGCAGGGGAGGGAAATCCACCTCGGGTGTGGCTTGCTGACATTGGTGGGAAAGTCGGCCCCATATTCCAGAGCTGCAGTCGCCACAGGACTGACCCTTTAGTCATCCTGGAGCAGCTTCTCTAGTCCATGGCAGGTCGGTGCATCCGGGTGGAGGAGCAGCTACTCCGGGATGACCAAAGGGCCAGTCCTGTGACTACTGCAGCTCTGGAATAGGGGACCGACTTTCCCAACCAACATCCGCAAGCCACCGTCAAGTCAAAATTCATATTAGTGGCCCGCGGGATTTGAAATTATGAGTTTGGTGGTCCCTGAGGTCCAAAAGGTTGGCAACCCCCGGTCTAACAGATAAATAAATTGAAACTCTGGCCCTCCTAATTACGTTTCCTTTTTTTAATTTCAGGTGCCCTCATCAGCCACGAGAAGCTGCTGCTGCAGATCAATACAGAGCGTGAAATGGGGAATATGCGATACAAACTAGGACAGGTTGGTTCAAATGCCTAAGAAAAGAAAAAAGAAAAACAAGCCATTTTTGGATCCCTAAAACCCAGGCGGTCTGTTCTGAACCAGGCTTCGTCAACTGTAATTCATCACAAAGTTGTTTTAAAAGCAATACCTATTTTATTGCAACGCTGGGAATTGCTTTCATTCCCAGCCAGAACTAATCTTAAACGGTTCCCCCGAGATAAGCACACACCTTTCACTTCTGTGGAGTGCTGCCAGAAACAGAAGTATCCAATTAACTATAAAAGAAACCAACCGAAGTGCAAGAAAAACCCAAGTACACAGAACTTAAGGATGGTTCAGAACTGATTGAACTACTTTGCTTCCTGCAAAGCTTTCGTCATTTAGGTTTCACTTTTATCCCTGATGGGAGGGGCAATCACTTCCCAGCCTTACTCCCCAGTCGCCCCTTTGTTTCAGCTGCTCTTGCCTTCTGGCAGCTCTGCGCATACGCTGAGAACAGGCTCCCTTTGTTCCTCTGCCTTGCTGCTGCCAGACTCTGGAGACCACTCCCAGATGGTCCTGGCCTCATCTCTGCATTGGATGCAGGACCTTCGTCCGGGTCCTCTCCAGACTCCCTGACTGGCCCCCTTTCTTCCTCACTGTCCGATTCCACTGCCGTCTGCACCGGCTGCCGGTGAACTGCAAGACAGTCATTGACGTACAGCCATTCGTTTAGGGACCATTCAAAGTTACAACGGCACTGAGCAAAAGGGGATCCCCGACCATTTTTCACCTTTATGACCATTGCAGCATTCCCCCGTGATCATGTGATTTATACTCGGCCGTTTGGCCACTGACTCCTACTTAATGACGGTCGCAACGTCCCAGGGTCATGCAAATCCCTGTTTGCGACCTTCCAACAACTTCAGCAACTCGCTTAACAGCGGTGGCAAGAAAGGTTGTGAAATCGATTTTTAACCATTGCGCCCACCAAAATGTTGAGCCTCGGTTTTGGTTGTACGTCAAGAACTACTCGTAACGGCCTTTTGGCGTCTTCACGACTTGGTTTATGCCTTAATTCACTGGGTGATGTTTTGTTACGTTGAGGTGGGCCTTTAAGGGGCTCAAGAATTGTTTTCAATCTTTATTTTTTCTCTATTGTTATTTTTTTGGCCCGCAGGTCTCCATCCATTCCGTGTGGTTGGGAAATAGCATTACCCCATTGCGGGAAGAAGAATGGGGCGAAGATGAAGATGATGAGAGCGACATGCCTGCCCTTACTTCTCCTCCCTCCTCACCCGTCAATTCCAGGTGTGTCTTTTTTTAAAAAAAAAAAAAAAAATTCTCTCTGAATGGAAGATGAATGAATATGTTTGTTGGGAATAGCATAGGGCAGTGATGACGAACCTTTTTGTTGTGGTGTGCTGAAAGCAAGTTCACGTGCCGGCACCCACAATGCAATGCGCCCCGCCGCATGCGCGCACAATACCACCACCACCGCCCTCTTATCTGCACTGTGGATGTGTGTGCCTCCCAGCTGATTTTCAGCCCATTTAAGGCTGTTTTTGCCCTCCCGGAGGCTCAAGGAAAGCCTCTGCACCCTCGGGAGGCCGAAATACGGGCCCATTTCGGCACTTCCGGTATTTCCGGAAGGCCCATTTTTCATCCTGCCGAGGCTTCCCTCGAGCCTTCGGGAGGGCGAAAAGGGCCTCAAACGGACCGAAAATCACCTGGGAGGCACGCGCATGTGCAGTGCAAGTAAGTTTGGCTGGGGCTCGCGGTGCCCACACAAATAGCTCTGCATGCCTCCTGTGGCTCACGTGCCATAGGTTCGCCGTCACAGGTATAGGGTTCCCCGCTTGATCAGGGGGTTAAGACTAGAAGGCTTCCAAGGTCCTTTCCAGCTCTGGTATTCTGTTACAAGTGAAGCTGGCTTGTATGTGACCAGGGGTGACCAGCTGTGATCTCTTTCAGGAATAAGGAAGTGAGCTAAAGCCACTTCCTACCGTCCCAAACTGCAAGGGAAAAAAAAAAAAAAAGATCCCAAAATGAGCTTGTAACAGTGACAGAAGAGTAGAGAGGGGCTCCATTGCGGCTCATTTCTGGGACCCCAATGAGCAGAAGCGTGGGGGAATTATGGCCCTTTTGGTGACCTGTGGACATCCCAGAATTCCTGCGCCTGATAACAAAACGTTCGGAATCCCACCCACAAACTCGGAGAACGAACTGCACCCTCATCCTACACCCAAGTTACAGATACCATGCTTCCACAAAAATACAACCCTGTCATTCATATATATATATGTGTGTGTGTGTGTGTGTGTGTGTGTGTGTGTGTGTTTTCTGAGGTTTTTGCGGGTATTTGTATGTGGATCTTTGGTTATTCGGGTTTTCTCCCGCGTAAAATTGGAAGTATTTTGGCAACATTTCGACGAAATCTCATTCGTCATCTTCAGGCTTGTGTCTTCGGCTTTGTGCTTCTTGAAGTAATGTGAGCTTGCAGCTGCTGCTTCCTTTTAACTGCCAGTGGGGGTTAAAAAGGCACCAGGTCTTATTTTCGGGGGATGTCATCCACTGACTAACGTCACTTCTGTGCGTTGCCCCCTGGTCTCTTTTTGCTGTCAGAGGCTTCTGACAGGAACTTCTTTTTTTGTGACTGGCAAGGCTTGCCTGAAGGCCTCTGCAGCCAATAAGAGAGCTCTGGATCGTTCCAGAGCTTTGTTATCAGCTCCAGAGGCCTTTAGGGAAGCCTTGGCCAGCTGCAGAAGAAATGGGCCGGCCAGGCAGGTGTCGGGGTGTTCAAGGCCTGGCTAAAACTGTCCAAAGGTAAGTAGTAGGGCAGCTACAGCAGCCCCTCCATCCCCACCGTAGCTTAATTTTTACCCATGCACTCTGGAGTGGGCGGGATCTTAATTAGGGCTTATTTTGGAAGTAGGGCTTATATTTGGCACACATGTAAAAAAAATCAGTCTAGGACTTACTTTCCAGGTAGGTCATATTTTCAGGGACACAGGCTATTTGCACCATAATATTTACAGTGGAATTTTTGTGGGTGTATTAACTTCTCTTGACTTGTAGGAATGTTTGGAAACCAACCCACAAGCTTGGAGAACGTATCCCTAACCCCCACCCTATATCCGAATTACAGATATTTGCCACCCTTGGAAGTCTAATATTTAACTGTGGATTTCTGTCGACTTACTAACTTCTCTTGGCTTGTAGGAAGCATCGTGCTGGGGTAGACATTCATTCGTGTTCTCAGTTCCTGCTGGAATTATACAGTCAATGGATTCTGCCGTCCAGCCCAAACAAGAAGACACCAGTTACCCTGATCAGCGAAGTGGTCCGATCTGTAAGCTTTCCGGTGTTTTCCTTCTCATAAATCATGCTTTGAATTGTTGACAGTACAGATGAGCTCAGCAGCAAAGAAATATTTTCGTTGATACAATTAATCATCGCCGTGTTTCTGCATATTTTAAGCTTTTTTTCTTTATGTACCTGGTTTATAAATCTCTCCAAATTTGAGCATCTCACATCTTAAGTCAGTGGTGGGATGCAACTGGTTTAATAGTCGGTTCGGTGAGCGCGCGCTTTGTGCGCGCATGCGCCTAATGTGCACTTTGCGTGCACGCACAGTGTTCAAAACCATTTTAAATGTAAAAAAACGGAAATATAGGACAGGAAAGTGCAGGGATGAGTGGGCGAGGCCAACTGCTCACTGGAACTACCGGTTCGTTAGAACTGTTGCGAACCAGTAGAATCCCACCACTGATCTTAGTCCAGTGGTGGCTAACCTTTTTGGGCTCCTATGCCGATAATTGCTTGCTCGCGTGCCAGCACCCAGAAGGCAATGTGCGCACGGGTCCCCCCCACACCCCCTGCACATGCACGCACTGTCCCCTGTGCGCACCGCACGTCTGTGCATATGAACGCTACTCGCTGCGCATCTCTGTGCATGCGTGAGAGCCCCCCCAGTGCGCCATGCATCTGTGCATGCACGTGCGTTTCTCCTGGCCCCCGCATATGTGCAGCCAATAACCAACAATCAGTCAGGCGGGCGGTGCACACGCGCATGTGCAGTAGACCCCCTTGGGATGAGGGCTTGCATGCCGACAGTAATGGCTCTGCGTGCCACTTCTGGTAACCATGCCATAGGTTTGCCACCACTGATCTTAATGCCCTAAGACAGATAGTCCTTGACTTACAACAGATCCTTTCGTGACCGTTCCAAGTTAACAGCCGCAGTGAAAAAAGTGACCAGTGACCATTTTACACATTCAACAACCCCATGGTTACATTAAGTGAAATTGGTTTTCCTATCAACTTATCAGATGGTCACTAAAAGAGGATGCAGTTGTCATAAATACAAGTCAATAGCCAAGCATCTGAATGTTGATCCTGTGCCCATGCAGCAATGGTCGTTAAGTGTGAAAACTGGCCACCGGTCACTTTTTTCCCCCAGTGATGTTGTAACTTTGAACAGTCACTAAATGAACTGTTGTAAATCTGTATTAAATACCTGTATTTACACATTTTTGTTGGGCAAAAGTACGGTAAAGGGAATATATATGTGATTTTACATGTACTAATTTAGTGATGGCAAACCCATGGCACGCATGCCGGAAGTGGCACGCAGATCCATCTCTGCCATCACACGAGCCATCGCCCCAGCTCAATTCCACTGTGCATGCGCGCGCGCCTCTCGCCAGCCAGCTGATTGTTGGGTATCTGCCTCGCATACGCGGGGGGTGGGATGCATCGGGAGATGTGTGAGCAGGGGCAGGGGGTCACGCACGCATGTGCAAGGGGCGTGGGAGCGTGGAGGGTTGCACGCGCATGCATGTGGGCGGGGCGTTCGCATGTGCAGGGGGAGCAGGGGGTCACGCGTGCATTGCATTATGGGTGCAGGCATACATGCACGCGCATGCATGCACACTTTTGGCATGCGACAACAAAAAGGTTAGTCATCACTGTACTAACTGCAGCCAGATTCGTATTTGCACAACAATGGAAAAGCGAACAGATCCTGACAGATGAGAGTGTTAATTAAACAAATATTAGAATGTGCAGAAATGGACAGATTTAAGACTTACAATTGAGGAAAAGGAAGGAATTGAATATTTCTTGACATGGGACTTATTTTGCCAATGGTTAGATAATAAAAACAGAAGTTAGAAACATGGGGATACAAAAAGGTCCAATGTTACAAAGGAGATTTTATTAAAGTACATAAGTAAAATATTATTATTATTGTATTAATATCAACATGCTGCCCAAACTCTACGCAAATACGTAAGATGTACAATATTAAAAGTTTGCTTGTGTTCACACATTTTCCGGCTTATATCTTCGCAGCTTTTAGCTGTCTCTGACTTATTCACGGAAAGAAATCAGTTTGAAATGATGTACACAACCTTAACTGAACTGCGGAAAGTGCATCCATCGGAAGACGAGATCCTTCTTCAGTATTTGGTCCCTGCTATATGCAAAGCAGCAGCTGTCCTTGGCATGGTAAAGATATTTGGATAATCATGGGCAGTGTCAACTCATAAAACATTTTGTATACACGTTTTATAGTTGACAACAGAAAGAAGGGGGAGTTTCAAAGAGCAGGGGGCAGTGTGGAATCGAAAGTACATTCCATTCATATTTTCTTCAAAGACTGAATAGATGACTGAAGCTTCTGCCGCGCAAAAATCTAATTGGAGAGCATGATTGATGACTCTTGTCTATGGACCTTTTTTGTTGGATGATACACCCAGAGGGATGGGGGGGGAAAGCAGGATCAAGGGTGACAATGAATTACATATCTCAGAGTTGGCTAAGCCCAGGTTAGTGCCGGACATAGAATGGTAGCTTCAAATAAATCCTCTTTAATTTTGGGAGTGTGGCTCGAGGCTCATTATTTAATTGGAGTATGCCAGAACCCTGACAGGCAGTCCTTGACTTACGACCAACAACAGAGTCTAAAACGTCCGTTGTTGAGTGAGGGGCGCCCCTTTTTTGCCACCCTTCCTGCTATAATTAAGAAAATTGCGGCCGTTGCTAAGCGAATTGTGAAGTTGTTAAGTGAATCTGGCTTCCCCTTTGACTTTGCTTGTCGAAATGTGGCAAAAGACAGTGGTGCGGTGGCCTAGAGGTGGAGCTCTCGCCTCACAGACAGGAGGCTGTGAGTTCGATCCTCGGTAGAGGCAGACATTTCTCTCTCAGCATGATGAGAATATATCTGCCGAACAAAATTCTGCACTGGCAACAGGAAGGGCATCCGGCCAGTAAACACTCAGCTTAAAATCAGTTGCCCAGACTCCACCCTGCAAGGAATTATGGGGTCATTAAAAGAGGATGAATGTGGCAAAAGACAATCATGTGACACACACACATATTCAACCCTACATATTACATAAATATCAAATCTAGGTAGCCACAATTTAAAAACACTCTTATTAGAGCTGCTTCCTTTCTTCTCTGGTTTTCAGAGCAAAACTAGAAATATTCCCAGCCCTGGCTGAGAGTTTTGGGGAACAGCCTTGATCAGGAAAGGCAGGGGTCCTGAATGAGGACCCCGGTGTGGTCAAAACAGATAGTGGGCAGCAGAAGTTGGTTCTCCCTCAACAGGACCATTCACTGCATGCCAGAATGCAGGTAGTCTTCAACTTAGGACCACAATTGAGCTCAAAATTTCCCATTGCTAAGCGAGACATCTCTGACGTGAGCTTTGTCCCATTTGTTCTGACCCAGGCTTAGCAGAACCAAGAAACAGGCTCCTTGACCCCAAAAAATCCCTCTTTATTTAGTTACTGTGAATTCAAGGCATTCACACACAGAAAAGTCCCGGCCATAATCCTTCCGAGGGTGAATTGCAAGAACAGACCACATCAGTCCCTGGATAGTTGCCAGGCCGAGAGCTTCCAGGATAAGCAACTCCTCATAATAATAAGCGAACTAATTGTCTCCTGCAACCACCACTCCCCTTTTGCTTCTATTTATTCCCCAGGGAGGAGCCATTCAGCGTCTGCATGTGCCTTCTTTCCAAGTTGTCCCCTGTTCCTTAGTTGTTCTCTCCTGACAGCTCTGTGCATACGCACATCTGGAACATGCTCCAGATGTTCCTCTTCCCCACTTATCTCTGACTCCATAGGCAGCTGGGAAATGTCAGACAGCCCTGGCACTATCTCTGCTTCCGATGCAGAGCATCCATCAGAGCCTTTCCCCAGACTCCAGGATTGGCCCAGGTTGCTCCTAACCTCATCCGAGTCTGCCGCCAGCTCTGTTGGCAGCTGGCGGGCCACAAATACCGGCTTCCCCATTGACTGCGCTTGTCCGAAGGTTGCAAAAAGGGGGATCACGTGTACCCCGGGACACTGCGACCATCATAAATAGGAACCAGTTGCCAAGCCTCCGAATTTGGATCACGTGACCATAGGGATGTTGCAGGGGTGAAAAATGCTCCAGAACCTCTTTTTTTCAGTGGTGTTGTAACTTTGAACAGTCACTGAGTGAACTGTTGTAAGTCAAGGACTACCTGTATTAGATCCATGCGGGGCAAAGCTTTTCCCCCCGCAGCTGCTAAATTCAACCTTGTTCTGACCAAGGCTTCCAAGACTGTAAGCACACACTTAGTTAAAACAACTCTTTGTTTTATTGCAGCGCTGGGAATTATGTTCATTCCCAGCCTATATTGAGTCCCAAACAGTTCCTCGAGAAAAGCACCCACCTTTCTCTCCTTTGGATTGCTGCCAATAACTAAAGTGCCAAATGAACTATTAAAAAAACCCAACCGAAGTACAAAGTCCACACAGAGCTTCAAGGATTAATCTGAACAGAATGAACGACTTTGCTTCCTGCAAAGGTTTCTCTACCTTTGCATTTCCTTTATACCTTGGGGAGGGGTAATCACCTCCCAGCCTTACTCCCGAGTCGCCCCTTTTGTCTCAGCTGCTCTTGCCTTCTAGCAGCTCTGCATATGCACACACTGGAAACAGGCTCCCCCTGTTCCTCTGCCTCGCTGCTGCCAGACTCCGGAGGCTCCGGAGGCAGCACCCCACTCCCAGATGTTCCTGGCCCCATTTCTGCATCGGATGCAGAACCCTCATCTGAGTCTTCTCCAGACTCCCTGACTGGTCCCCGTTCTTCCCCACTGTCAGATTCCGCTGCCGTCTGCACAGGCTGCCGGCGAACCACAACAAACCTGACACACACCCCCGTGTCTTCTTTGCATCCATCAGGATAAAGCTGTGGCAGAACCCGTCAGCCGCCTGCTCGAATCGACGCTCCGCAGCACGCACATGCCGAGCCGAATTGGCGCGCTGCACGGCATCCTGTACATTTTGGAGTGCGATCTCCTGGACGAGACGGCAAAGCAACTGATTCCAGTCATCACCGAATACCTGCTGTCCAATCTGCGTGGCGTAGCCCAGTAGGTCCTGGTAGAAGTAGCTCCTCGCTAAACTGAATCATCCGACGGGGGGAGGGGTGGAAATGGAATTGTGGAGGAGGGGAAAAAAACCCCACGCATCAAAACCTAACATGGTTATTTACTTTGGAGTGGTGGAAGAGGCGTCTTAATGAAATGCTAAAACAGCCCTGAGAACCTTTCGTTCCTGATGAAGGAGGATATTTGTAGCTCAGGTTTGACACAAAGGATCCTTGGTGCTCCCTGAGCTTGCTAGTTTTCTTCCAGACGTTTCATGACCCAACTAGGTAACATCATCAGTGCTAGAAGGGAAGGGGGTTTGCAGAGAGGAGGAGGAGGAGGAAAAAGACTGTGGGGTCCTTGGTGCTCTCTGAGCTTGCTAGCTTTGCAGACGTTTCATGACCCAACTAGGTAACATCATCAGTGCTAGAAGGAAGTGGGATTTGCAGGGAGGAAGAGGAGGAGGACTGTGGTGTCCTTGGTGCTCTCCGAGCTTGGTAGTTTTCTTGCAGATGTTTTGTGAGCTAACTAGGTAACATCATCAGTACTAAGAGGAAGAGGAGTGCTCCCAATTGATATTCTAGTGGCTAGCCCTGTGAGTGTTGGCGGGAGTGGGTCTTTGGTCAGGCTGTTTACTATAAGTTCTTCAGCAGTTCCTTGATTGGGACATTGGTTACTTCTTTTAGCTATGGTTTTATTTGTATAGCTACTCCTCGACTTACAACCACAATTTGAGCCCGAGTCAGTTACCGAGCGTCTGAATTTTGATCGTGTGATTGTGGGGATGCTGCAAAGGTCGTGACTCTGAAAAATAGTCGTAAGTCACGCCTTTCAGTGCCGTTGTAATTTTGAACGGTCACTAAATGAACTGTTGTAAGTCGAGGGCTACCTATAATTGCTTCTGCTAAGGCCACCTAGGAGTGGTTTAGTCCTCTTATATTTCTTCCATAGAAAAATGAAAGAAGAGAGTGTTTGTTTTTAATGCCGATCTCTGTCATATGTTGAGAAACACCCCCCCCTCTTTTTTTGTCTCTCTTAACAGCTGTGTGAACCTCCACAACCAGCAACACATCTTGGTCATGTGCGCAGTGGCCTTCTACTTAATCGAAAATTACCCTGCTGACGTTGGACCCGAATTTTCTTCAGGAATTATTCAGGTAGGGTTGAAGCCTCCAAAGAGTTTCCCACGTGGAAAGGGTTGTTGTGGCCTGCCAGCGGCCAGCAGAGCTGGCGGTAGAGTCGGACAATGAGGAGATTAGGGAAGAACCTGGGCCAGTCCTGGAGGCTGAGGAAGGCTCGGACGAGGGCTCTGCATCAGAGGCAGAGATTGGGCCAGGGCCGTCCGACAGTTATCAGCTGCCTTCGGAGTCGGAGATGAGCGGGGAAGAAGAACAGCTGGAGCCTGTACCCAGTGTGCACATGCACAGAGCTGTCAGAAGAAGGGAACAATTACGAACTAAGGGTCGACGTGGGAGTAGGGTCACAGATGGATGGTGAATGGCCCCTCCCATGGAGATTAAAAGAAGAGCAAAAGGGGAGGGGGCTTTTGCAGCAAACAATTCATTTGTTGCAGCAGTGTGAAGGACTCCGTGCCGAGTCCTTCCTTGTCAGCACTGCTTTTGGAAATAGTTAATTGGCAGCTCTCCAGGCTAGATAAGGCCTGTGCTCCTAATTACACCCTTGAAAGACCGTTTGCCAGGCCTTTGGCTAAATGAGAATGCAAGAAATTCACCTTTGTTTAATAAAAGGGATGTTGCCTGGATAAAAAAAATCTTCTTAGTGCTTTTGGGGGAAGCCGAGGTCAGAACAAGGCTGAGATGAAAAGAACCTTCTGGCCGATCCTCACGCCGTGCATTGGCCAGTCTCAAAACTTTGCTCAGCTATCTTTCTTCATGTCAGGCCTGTCCCAACTTGGGCATTTAGAAAAGAAAGACCCTCGACTCCACTTGGAGTGAAAGGCGGTACAGCTAAACCTTGACTTAACCGCGGTTCATTCATTGACCGTTAAAGAGTTACAACGGCACTGGACCATGTGTCTTAACGACCATTTTTCAAAGTTACGAGCTTTGCAGCATCCCCATGGTCACATTATCAAACGATGAATGCTTCGGTACGGTTCACATTTAGGACCGTTGCAGTGTCCTCAAGGTGATCCCCTTTTGCGACCAACAGACCAACAAAGTCAGTGGGAAAACCAAATATTCATTTAACAAGCGGGTTACTAACTTACCAACTGCAGCGATTCACTTAACAACTGTGGCCAGAAAGGTCATAAATGGGGCCTAACAAAATGTCTCACTTAACAACAGAAATTTGGACTCAATTGTGGCCATACGTCAAGGGCTACCAACTACTTTTACTAAAGCCAAGTGGTTACAAGCCAGATCTGAGGATTCCCACGCAAACCCGGTGTTTTCCCCCTCAGGCAGGCCCTCCCTGTTGATCTTTAACAAGTTAGCAGAATTGGAAGGGACCTTATAGGTCATCTAGTCCAACCCCCCCCACCCAAGCAGGAGACCATTTCTGACAGTCCAGTCTCTTCTTGAAAGCTTCCAGGGATGAGCCAACCACAACTTCTAAAAGCTGAAGTTGATCATCCTGTTTGTGTCCAATGAGGTTCAAGCGAGTAGTTTTGGTAACACTTCTAACTGTCAACTCGTAAACCATTCCTCTGCCTGTTTCCAAGTTGTCATAAGAAGGAAGGGGGAAAGGCGGTGCAGCAAATGAGAGCCAGAAGCACGTTCCACGCTTATCTTATAAAGATTGTAGCCTAGGCTACTGGGTCTTCTGCCTGGGGAAAATCCTTCCTTGGAGAGTGTGATTGATGACACCCATCCCGTGAATATGTTTCGTTGGAGAATCTGATTTGTGACACATGGGGGGGGGACGGGGGATGGGGGACAGGGTCACAGGTGACCATAAATTACATGTCTCAAAGTTGGTTTCATACAAGTTAGTTTTGGACATGTTGCTCCTAATTTTTGGATTCTTTTGAAGTTTGGCTCGAGGCTCATGATTTAATTAGGGCAGTGATGGCTAAACTTTTCCACGTTGCGTGTCAAAATTGCCCACATGTGCGTGCGCTCCACCCATGATGCAATGCATGCGCAACTCCCCCCACCCTCCCGAGCACGCCTCTGCGCATTCGCACGCAACCCCCCACGCACGCCACATGCCTCTGCACATGTGCGGCAGATACCCTACAATCAGCTGGCTGGCAAGGGGCGTGCACATGCACAGGGGGCTCTTCCGGGCGACCTCTCTCACAGGCCTGCAAAAGTGGCTCTGCATGCCACTTCCGGCACGCGTGCCATAGGTTCACCATCACGGAATTAGGGCAATCGTCGGAACCCTGATGTCAACTCATAAAACGTTTTGTATACACGTTTCATAGTTGACAACAGAAAGAAGGGGGGGGAGTTTCAAAGAGCAGGTGGCAGTGTGGAATCGAAAGTACATTCCATTCATGTTTTCTTCGAAGACTGATTAAATGACTGAAGCTTCTGCCACGCAAAAAACTAATTGGAGAGCATGATTGATGACTCTTGGCTATGGACATTTTTCGTTGGATAATAACACCCAGAGGGGTGGGGGGGAAAGCAGGATCAAGGGTGACAGTGAATTAAGTATCTCAGAGTTGGCTATGCCCAGGGAAATGCCAGATGTAGAATGTTAACTTCAAATAAATCCATTTTAGTTTTGGGAGTGTGGCTCGAGGCTCATGATTTAATTGGAGTAACTGCCGGAATCCTGACAGCTGACACTAATGTTTGGTGCTCTTTGGTGTGCATTCGCATGCCATTCCCACACCTGTGTCTTTGGGTCGTTCAACCATTCTGTCTGGTTGGCACCTCTGGTTCCTGTCAACCCTATGTCCCTCTATTCTCTCCACCCCACATTTCAGGACAGGCCGCTCTCAAATTGAACTAGTCCTGGTGCGACGTGATGGCAGGTCTTGACCCTTTCTTGTCTCTTCTTCCAGATGTGTGGACTGATGCTATCCGAAAACGAGGGATCCACTCCGTCGGTCATCTACCACTGTGTGCTGAGGGGTCTGGAAAGGCTCCTGCTTTCGGAGCAGCTCTCCCAGCCGGACTGCGAAGCGCTGGTGAAGCTGAGTGTGGACCGCGTGAATGTCCTCAGTCCTCACAGAGCCATGGCTGCCTTGGGGCTCATGCTGAGCTGCATGTACACAGGTAAAAGTGCCTATTGTCGTTTCCTTGCCCTCCTCCGTGACTTGTTATTTAGGCGATGATCCACTGACTCGGTGGACAGGGACGTGGTGGCTCAGAGGCAAAGACGCTCGGCTTGTCGATCAGAAAGGTTGGCAGTTCGAATCCCTAGCGCCGCATCACGGAGGGAGCTCCCGTTCCTTGTCCCAGCTTCTGCCAACCTAGCAGTTCGAAAGCATGTAAAAAAAATGCAAGTATAAAAATAGAGACCCCTTTGTTGGGAAAGGAACAGTACTTCGGTTGGTTTCTTTTCTAGTTCATTTGCTACTTCTGTTTTTGGCAGCACTTCACAGAACTGAAAGGTGAGTGCTTATCTCAGGGGACTATTTGAGCTTAATTCCAGCTGCAATGAAAACAATTCCCAGTGTTGCAATAAACTAAGTCTTGTTTTTAAAATAAGTGTGTGTGCGTGATTACGGTTTAAGAAGCCTCAGTCAGAACTGATTGCAGGAGGCTGTCGCAGCCAAAAACAGAGCTAAGGAAACAACATTGGGAGAAAATAAAAGAGTTGGCTGGAACAGAGGATAGACTGGAAACCAGAAGTATATTTGCTGGGTATAATCCCAGAAGATTATGATAAAGGAACTACTTATTTAGTTTTACATATACTGACAGCAGCAAGGATTAGCTAATGCAAAATTCTGGGAAAATGAGAACACCCCACCAGATGAGGAGGTAATCAGGAAAATCCTAGAATGTGCTGAGATGGACAGTAACTTTAAAAAGAAAAGAAAAAGAAGGCTCAGATTACTATCTTGACATGGAATAGTTTTTACGAGTGGTTTAAAACAAGGGGTAGAAGTCAGAGGAAGTTAAACGAACAATCTTATTAAAAACAGGGATGAATGTACTCTGTGTGTGTGTGTGTGTGTATTACAGTATTAGATATGTTTTTGGGGTAAATCATATACCCGGACAAGACTCTGTATTCAAAAAATGCTTATGAATAAAATATTTTTAAAAAAGAGAGAGGGGGGGGGCATTTTCGCTGGCAAGGAACCCGGGTGGCCCAGCCCCCCCCCCCCCTCCCAGACATGAGTGATGTCGAGCTGGCCACACCCATCCGGTCCCCCAACGTCAAATACAACCCTGATGCGGCCCCTCAATGAAATCGAGTTTGATTCCCCCCCCCACCCCCCCCCCCGCCATAGGCGTGTCAATCATCCTTTCTTGTCAATTCCCTTCGGTCAATCTCGCAAGAGTGTAGTAATGATTCTTATCTTTATCACACCTCCCCTCCAATTGCGGCTTTAGGAAAAGAGAAAGTCAGTCCCGGACGAAGCTCAGATCCTCAGTCGGCAGCTCCGGATAGCGAATCGGTCATCGTGGCAATGGAGCGAATATCTGTCCTCTTTGACCGGTAAGAACAGAAAGCCGGGAAAAATTCGTCCTTGGCACCTATGTTCCTCTTGGCTTCTAGGGGCTCACTAAGAAAGGATTTTTCCAAATAACCATCAGAGCATTTAGAGTATTTCCTATATTATTATTATTATTATTATACTGATGCTAAGGAGTTCTTCTCCCCCTCCCCACCTGAAAAGAAATCTCTTCCAAATGAAAAACACAAGCAGAGGAGAGGAGAGAATTAGTTTCAGTTTCACAGCAGCACCAAGCAGCTTTAGTACAGAACAGTTGAGCTAAGCCACGCCCAGGCTCCTTGCTGTCTCCTTGCTCACACAGCAAATACTGTTTCAATTTCCAAACAGCCCTCAACTCTTGATGGATGCTGGTAGGCAGAGGCAGAATTCCCCACCCCCACCCCCTTATTTTCCTCCCCAAAAACTAAGCCCAACTTCATAGTTTCGTAGCGAAGCACGGAGATCGAGCTAGTATTAAAATAAATTGTTTTGGGAACTGTCTCTGGTGAGCCTTTCCATTCCCAGCCCTTTGACCTTAAGCTTGTGTCTCGGGATGGTACGATGAGTAGTTAGCGTTCCCCCCCCCTCCCATCATGGCAGTCTGGCAGCTAGCCAAGGCGAAGCACAAGCATACAATGGCAGTTCTGCCATTGGGGTCCCCTGAAGAAGACCTTGGAAGGAGGCGCTGGCCGGCCAGCCCCGGAGACTGATGGCCGGGGGCTCTCTCCGCAGGGTCCGGAAAGGATTCCCCTTTGAAGCCCGGGTGGTAACGCGGATCCTCCCTCAGTTCCTGGATGACTTTTTCCCTCCGCAAGACGTGATGAATAAAGTGATTGGAGAATTTTTATCCAACCAGCAACCCTACCCACAATTTATGGCGAAAGTGCTGTACAAGGTAAGGTTATTGCAGCACAAGGTAAGCCTCGCTGGCACAGTGGTGAGTGTGCGGTACTGCAGGCTACTTCTGCTGACGGTTGGCTGCCTGCAATTTGGCAGTTCGATCCTGACCGCCTCAAGGTTGGCTCAGCCTTCCAACCTTCCGAGGTGGGTCAAATGAGGAGCCAGATTGTTGGGGACAAGAGGCTGACTCTGTAAAACTGCTTAGACAGGGCTGGAAAGCACTGTGAAGCAGGATATAAGTCTATTGCTACTCCTTTCCTTTCCTTTCCTTCCGTCCTTTCCCCTTCCTTCCTTCCTTCCTTCCTTCCTTCCTTCCTTCCTTCCTTCGTGGTTAGAATGCAGTATTGCAGGCTGACTCTGCCCACTGGCAGGAGTTCAATCCTGACCAGCTCAAGGTTGACTCAGCCTTCCATCCTTCTAAGGTGGGTAAAATGAGGACCCAAATTGTTGAGGGCGATAGGCTGATTCTGTAATCCACTTAGAGAGGGCTGTAAAAGCATTGTAAAGTGGTATATAAGTCTATTGCTGCTCCTTTCCTTCCTCCCCTTTCCTTCTTCCTTCCTTCCTTCTTGGTGCAGTGGTTAGAATGCAGTATTGCAGGTTGACTCTGTCCACTAGCAGTAGTTCAATCCTGACCAGGCTGATTCTGTAATCCACTTAGAGAGGGCTGTAAAAGCATTGTAAAGTGGTATATAAGTCTATTGCTACTCCTTTCCTTTCCTTCCTTCCTTCCTTCCTTCCTTCCTTCCTTCCTTTCCTTCCTTCCCTCCCTTTCCTTCCCTTTCCTTTCCTTCCTTCCTTTCCTTTCCTTTCCTTTCCCTTCCTTCTCTTCCCTTCCCTTTCCTTCCTTCCTTCCTTCCTTCCTTTCCTTTCCTTTCCCTTCCTTCTCTTCCCTTCCCTTTCCTTCCCTTTCCTTTCCTTTCCTTCCTTCCTTTCCTTTTCTTTCCCTTCCTTCTCTTCCCTTCCCTTTCCTTCCTTCCTTCCTTCCTTCCTTCCTTCCTTCCTTCCTTTCCTTTCCCTTCCTTCTCTTCCCTTCCCTTTCCTTCCTTCCTTCCTTCCTTCCTTCCTTCCTTCCTTCCTTCCTTCCTTCCTTCCTTCCTTCCCTCCCTTTCCTTCCCTTTCCTTCCTTCCTTTCCTTTCCTTTCCTTTCCCTTCCCCTTCCTTCTCTTCCCTCCCTCCCTTTCCTTCCTTTCCTTTCCCTTCCTTCTCTTCCCTTCCCTTCC